TATAAATGGTAATGATGCAGACCACTCACGCCTTCGAGTACCAAATGACCAAGAAAAAGGAAGTGTTCCTAAACTAGTCCTACAGCTTGGGAAAAGAATTATAAATTTGAAAGACTGTCAGAAGTGTTATCCTATGTAATGGATTGTTCTCATAAGTTATAGGTATTGGGCTTAGTCTCAAAGCCCATTCGTAGTGTCTGTTGCGCAGGTCTATATATATGGGCCTTAAGTTCTGTATTAAGAGCAGACTCATAATGTTTTCTTATAAAATAATAGAAAGTTTGGTTCTCTCTTTTTTGGGCTTCTTTAACAAAGACAAAATAAAATAGAATTTTTATTTTAGAATCAAAGAAAACCTTTTTGCTAATTTTTATATTTAGAAGCAGAAGTATCCTGTTTTAGTTTCTAATTATTTTTTGAAAAATTTCTGGAATTGTGCTTTAGTCCTTTAGGAAGGAAGGGTTACATTGACTTGATATTCTTTCATCTTACCATCTTTGGTTTTTAATATAAAAGCTAATTAAGAAGTTGGATATAGTTCTAAATATGAAATTTTAATCCACTTTTGTTATCCAAATTTATATTTAGTTTCAATGTAAATAATTAAAGAACACACATTTAATTTGTTTCGCATAATTACGTTAACTGATTTTCTTAATATTCAAATTAGTTAAAATGCTAAGGCACTAAGTTTGGTTATTAGGAGGACGCTATTGAATTGATGACGTGAATATGTAATCATGTGTTACATTCAATGGTCGTGGATTTGTCATGATTTTATCAGACGATTCTATTATTCGGATTAGAAAACTTCACAACAAGGATACAAGAGATTTATGTGTTTTTTATTTTTATTTTTCAAATTTACAATGGCAACGAGGGTATGCCTGTTATTTGTTTAAACATACGGATGGAATTGTCTCATTACATTACATTACCTCATGATCTATGGGGCCAGCGCCTCAGAATGAAATGCTTGGCTTCGGCTTTGGCCCATCACACACACACACACACGGTTCATCATTAATTAATATGATGGATGATTGCTTCCGTGCCATCATAAGTAGTGTTAAACCAGATGAACGGTGTTGGAGTGGGTTACCGATTTAGTTATTTTTATCCTGCGACTTGCCTAAAACCGTGTCGTTCTGTCTGAAAAATCTAAATCTGAAATCAAATTCTGATCTCTCATCTCATACTGGGGAAAAAACAAAACTTTAAATCATTGAACATGATTTGGTAAAAAAGGAGAAGAGCTAAGGATGATGATAAAAAATGACTGACGAAGGAAGGAAACGAACACATAAGTAGATTAGCACGTTCAAATCTTTTATTTTATTTTTCACTTTCTCCTACTTATGCCCTTCATTAAAACGGCTAGTAGTGCTTGATTTTGGATGGAGAAGATGCTTTTGCCTTTCAGAACAACTTGAATCTTAGATATGACAACGCAAAGCATTTCATATTATCCATCATTTCGTTCAAAAAATATAAAAAAATACATCAAAAACATTTAAAATATTTATTTGACCATATTTTTAAATAAAAATTAAAAAAAACTTAATTACATGTCAAATGGCAAATATTATTTTTTAAAATAAAATGGTTTATAATAAAAAAAATATAAAAGTTTTGACATGTCAAAAACCATTATTTTTATCAGGAGGGGAGTTGATAATTAAAACATGAAATATTAGATACCTTAATTAAAATTTTTAGAAGTTAGGGAGGCGGTGTGCAATTGATCTAAAGTTTAAGTGTTTTCTGTATTTTAACCTAATTTAAAAAATGGCAAACATCTTCCAATGTTTAATTGAGCCAAAAAGATTTAAGAAAATAATGGGAAAAACACATGAGAGCTGGATACCTGGGAAAGGGCTGGCCCAATTTTTTTTTTAAAACACATTTGTTAATGTTGTTAAAAACTTTTTGAAAACAGCGAAGGTCACGCTCACACCTTCCCGCAAGCGCGCATGGTCATATTATAATTAAAAAAATCCAACTCACGAGAAGGTTTAGATCGTCTCCAATAATTTTATGTATCTTATTTAAAATAAATTTATTCTAATTAAAATAGATATACTGATGCATATATATCTATATATATACATTTAATAGTTTTTACATTAATATCATCATGAAAGTGTTAAAAAAGAAGGAGTAATATCGCCCTTAATTGTTAAAAATATTAACCCATAACATTAGTTTTTTAATGGTTAATCTTAATGTTCTCCTTCATTAATACTTTCATATCAATACTGATCCTATAAAAATTTTTAGGATAAATATTAATGTTTAAATAAATCATCGTTAGGTGACCTATGATCGTCAATGATATAATTTATTTACACATCAAAGATATGAATTGGATCAATGTCATAAATAATATTTTCTAAACTATTAAAGTCGAGAATCTACAATAAATTGTTGGCAAAAAAATCTACACTAAATTATTTATTTAAATAAATAAAATGATGTTCATTTGATCCTTTTTTTGTCAATGTATAACATTATCGGCAATCGTTCATTATTTTACATTATTTATATCTTTCTCCTTGAGGTTTAAAAATTTTATTTATTTAACATTTCAATTTTAAAATTAGGATTTCAATTTTTTATGCGTTTTTGTGGACAAAAATAATGAAATAACGTATAATAGTGTTCTAATAATCCTTAACACTTCATCGGTAACGATCCAAAGTGGCATATACTCCAATAAAAGATTAAGTATCATTGACCAAGAAATTAAAAATAAATTTTATTTAACTCTTGATTAGTATATATTTTAATTTTAAAGCCCCTGGTCAAAAAAATTTCTCAAGTCAGAATGCATTTTGTAGGAGGATAGTATTCCCAAGATTTGGCCAAAAAATCTTAAAAAAATATATATCATAAATTTTGATCCAGCTATATATTTAGATTTAAAATGGATGGTCGAAATTTAACATGTCATAAAATTATTATTATAAAAATAAACTTAAATTGTTAAAATTTGACATGCGCAGTTCATGATTATAATATAAAAATTTTAAAATTTTAAATTATAAAATATAAATAACAATAATTTTATGAAATGCTAAATCTAAAACCATCTATGTTTTGATTCAAGGGTGTATACGGGTTTCTGAGGATTAAAAGGATTGGAGAAAAAGGAAAGGATTTAGACCAGAAATGTTGAATGCTGATGGGTCGTTGAGATTGAAATAATAATGGAAGAGTTACATTTCTGGCCAATATATATAATATGATTATGAAGTGACTCTCATATTGACTATTACTAGTCAATATAAATAAGTCATATTAATACACAAGTTCGTCAAGTCTTTTTAATTTATAAAAACATCCTGGACAAGTGGACAACTACTTTAATACTCTTCTCTCTCTCCTCAATTTATTTTTAAGCGGATGTAAAATTACCTGCTCCATTTTCAAGTCATATTAAAGTAATATGAGTCTCTTTCACTTGGTGGCTAGTTACAAGCAGCTCCAATTTGGTCTACTTCCAAGACTTGGGTACTTAAAAGAGGATATATGGTCTACTTGTCTTCTCATCCTTCACACCAATTATATGTTAGGATTTTCCCCCAATTTCTCCTAAAAATTAAATATATTATTTAAATTTTAATTATTCTCAAATAACTATTTTTATTTTATAATTTCAATTTTAATTATTCTCTAACAATTATCATATTATAAACATATGTAAATATGTATTATTCAATAAAAATAGTATCATTTTCAGTCATTTTACATCCAAACTTATTTTTTGTTAATCATCAAAACAAGTTTCAACTTGTTAAGCTGACTTTTTTATAAATGTCAGTCACATTATACTCATTTTTATTTTAACTCATATTTACAAAAATCTGATGAAGTAAAAGTTACTTTTGATTTAAACACGCACTTACTCGGCTTTTTTATTAATTGAAATTAACCCATATTATTAATCAAATGAAATTGACCCAAAAGCAAGTCTTCCACTTTTGCTCATCCTTCTTACGCGTAATTTGCTGATTGGTTGTTGAAATTGAAGTTTCATTGAATTGTCTTTTGGGATGTCACCGTCGGGTAGAAAAAAGATTAAGGAGGATGTAGGGTCTACTTGTCTATATAATGCCCCTGTTTATCTCTGTTCTCCACACTCATCCCTGCTTCTTTAAGATTTGGTTTGGGCGAAGTTGCAATCTCATTCTCCTATTTCTTTAATTTAGTAAGCCTCTGCTTCTTTGACATCGTTAACTTCTTATTGGTTGTTATTGGTTAATTTTTCTCCTCCTTCTCCTCCTCATTCATCCACTCTTTCTTCTTCAAGTTTTCCTTCTTTTGGGCGTCATGGTTATATTTTCTTTTTATGGGGTTCTTGTTTGGTCTGGTCTTCCATAACTATGACCTATAGTTCTCATTGACATAATTTAAATGTAATTTGGCAAGGGCCTAAATTCAGTAGTCATTAAAAAAAAGTTTAAATTATTGACCAGTACAACGAGATTAAAATTATACCCGAATTTACATATCTATTGTTGCTTTAGTTACGGGATTGACAACTTTGATGAAAGTAAAGTAGAGGTGTGCACAAGGAAAAGGATTAAGATCAGCAGTTTTCTATCTGCCTTTCTTCTTCGTTTGCTCTGTTACGTTCTTGAATGCTCGATTCCCTACAGTGTTACTGTATTAGTGTTGTTTATTCACTGGAGAATTGACTGCATTTTAACTTTAACTTCACACACTTCAACTGATAAGTTCAAGAAAATAATAGTCTACAAAACAATAAATTATAAATATGTAACTTATATTGAGTATTATATTTTGACCTTTGCAGCATTTATGTATTTATTTATTCTGTTTTTCTGAAGGTCTTTTCTAAATGTGATTGATTTTCTCTCTTCAAGATTGGGAATTACTTGATAGCTGATCAAACCTTGCCGTGTGTGTGTGTGTGTGTGTGTATATAACAACCCCTTCAATTAACTTGTTCATCGAAGTCAATCGTGCTCAAGATAATGAGTTCGTTCGAGAAACTGCACAGTGATGCCATGGGAGGAAAATGGTCAGAAGCATTTGAAAGATGCAAGCAAGAGAGGGCGCTTTGGACAGCCCAGATAACAGGGACGGGAGACACAGTATTACACATGGCTGTGTCTAGTGGGGAAGAGAAGGTGGTGGCAAACATGGTTGAATTCTTAGTTGAACAAGAGAAAAGTTTCCCCCAAAATGGTGTGGTGGTTACAATGGACGAAGATGATGAGGAAACGTGGAACATGAATACCGTTCTTGGTGCTGAAAATGATAGAAAAAACACTCCTTTACACTTAGCAGCAATAGAGGGGTCTGTTGAAATGTGCAGGAAGATCGGTGGCACGGATCGCTCTTTAATTGCTCACCGGAACATCGCCGGCGAGACACCCCTTTTCCTAGCGGCTCTCAATGGCCACAAAAAAGCTTTTCTTTGGCTTCATTATCTGTATGTTGGAAGCCATGAAGTTTCTTCAACTGGCTTTGCTCACTGTATAAGGGACAACGAAGATACCATTCTTCATTGTGCAATTGCAGAAGGGCATGCTGGTAAATCTAAATTAATACTCATTCTTTCATTTACTGTGAATGTACTTGCGATGATGAAGTACTACTAAGTGCAGATGTGGCAACCGAAATAGTTCACCTTTATAAAGATCATTTGAAAGAGATGATGAAGCGCAACAAAAAAGGGTTGTCTCCACTTCATCTCCTAGCATCGAAACGCAAGGCTTTCAAAAATACTAGCCTCCGTGAACTACCAATCCTTGCTGGTCCAATTTATCGTAATTTCTATATATGGCTGTGAAGGGAAGCAATGCGTACATGTGTGTCTGTAATTTCGAGCTTCAAAGGACATTCTTTTAATAATTATTATATATATATATATATATATATGCATATGGCTTGTTTGTTTGGAACTTTTGTAGGGTTGTGGAAAGTTAATGAGAAGAATCAGGCCACAACGCTTGAAGAATTGCGAGCCATGAAAGACAAAAGTATACGCTTCACGCGTTACTCCGCAGCTGTTTTCTTTTGTCCATAACAAATGTGCGTTTATTTTAATTCGAATTAGCTTAAAGACCTTGCCTTGAACAATTCGAAACTATGATACTAGAAAGAGATGAAACATGGAAAAAAAAATCATTTAATCCCTGAAATTTTAATTCGAAGAACTCAGTCCTCAAATTTTAGTTTGATGCAACTCATCAGTACTGACAAATTTTCTGACTAATTAATATTTAATTTGCAGAACATTATAAAGGAAAAAACGTTTTGGTCAAATTTATGAAGCGCATCGCATTTAACCTCCTCCAGGTTCCTGTGGCATTCCTGCAGTTAACATGTTCTAACGCAGGTAGGGCACGCGCAAGAGCGCACATTTAATTAAAATCATGCGCATATACATATATAGGCACGCTGATAAAATTTGTATTGATTGATTATTAATTCAAAATTACATGCACCATGATGTTTATCACTACAGTGAAATAGACACTGTTTAGATATAAATTTAATAATCTACATTTAAAATTTTTAACTAATATTTTTTAAATAAAAAATTATTTTTTAAAAATTTATGGTTGAGAGATTAACTTTATTATGGATTATATACCTAGATTATGCATCTATTTGAAATTAAAATTCTGAATTGATAATTTCTAAAGAATAAAATTATTTTTTAAAAACTGATAATTAAACTATTATCTTTATTTTAAATTCTATATTAATTCATTAAAATAATTGTTTTTAGAAAATAAAAATAAATTTGGATTATTCAAATTAGATCTAAATGGTATGAATTAGTTGCATCTATCTATCCCCATACTCAAATTTTGTGATGCATGTGTGCGTACGTTAAATTATTGATGATGATGATGCCCTCATCTATTACGATTCTGAACCAACGAATGCACATTTTTATTTAATATTTGGTTTAAGGTACAAATTTACCTAGGAAGTATTTCACTATATACATCATGCTTAAAGTAGTGCAAGAGTATAAACTTTTTTGGGGTGCAAGAGTATAAACGAAATTTTTAAAGTGGTGCAAAAATACCATGGCCTTAAGTCAATTAACATTGACTGTTTAGCAAACATATAGGTCAAGAAAATGATGTAAAAATATAAATAAAGTTTTCAAAATCTTACAAAAATGCCATAGTTGTTAGAAATTTTATATGTATTTTTGCACCATTTTAAACAGTTTATATGTATTTTTGCACCAGTTTTTTAGTTGACATGTTTGCAAAATATTTAATGTTAGTTGACTTAACAGTTATGCTATTTTTGTACTAGTTTGTAAGCTTCATGTTTACTTTTGCATTTAAGAAAAATTTATGGTATTTGGTGTCCCTTACATAATGTTTCATGGGTAGATTTGCATATATGTTTGTGTGCAATTTAATTCACGCTTTTCTTTCATATTACTTAGCCTTACTTTTTATCTTATTTTTCACCGGTTATTTGACCAAAGACAACATTTAAGGACTAAGCACGCAATTTTAATAACTAGCTAAAGTACAAATAAACATACATGGCACCCATTTCTCCCAACATTATTTTAAAATTTTTTTGAAATACGCTGCTTGAATCCCCGACGCTCTCTCACTTGCATTTCTTCTCTGAAAAGTAAAGACTCTCCCCCCTCTCTCCGGCGCTCCGCAGTCTGGAGTCTACATTTGTCTCTTCCCCCACCTCATGCCACTCTCTCTCTTCCCCTTTCCTCCCCAGTGGTCATATTTTTCTTCCTCCTTTTATGTTTTCTCAAATAAATTTTACGTTGATTTTTTTCATTCATAATATTTTATTTACCTTTTCAGTTTAATTTAAAATATTAGAATTAAAAGCTATACATATTTAATTCTATTTTTTCATTTATAATATACGCCATCGATTTTCTTCATAATATCTATATTGATTTAAATATGAGAATTATATATGAGATATTATGAAACAAAAAAATAAGTATATGCGTGATGAAAGAAATAAATTAGAGAGACATTATGAAAAACCAATAGCATATATTTATATTTAATTCAAATTTTTTTCATTCATAACATATGCTCTTAATTTTTTTCATTCATAACATATTCTCTTAATTTTTTTTTCATCCGTAAAATCAATGTAAAATTTATTTGAGGAAACAAACGAGAAGGAAGAAAAATATGAGAGAGTTGGGGGGAAGTTTCTAGAGAAGTGATGCAGGTGAGAGGGTATCAAGGATTCAAGCAGCATGCATTTCAGGAAAAAAAAAAATCAAAATAATGGTGAGAGAAATGAGTGCCATGTAGATTGACATATAGGATAAAAACATTTCAGCTGTCATTATCTCATTGGTCAGAGTATAGATGAAGTAGCACTTTGAGTGTATGTAAGAATTTCTCAAAGAATAGTGGGTCTCAGCTGATATAGGTAAGACCCACCAAAAAATTATACCTTTAAATAATACTATCTCTGGTTCTAAGTATGAGATCTCATTTATCGAATACAAACAAGGTCTAATAATTAAGATCAGAGGTAGTAAATTTTTTAAAACATTTTGTCCCCACTAACCTATGGGTCTTGATGAATAGTCATAATTAGATGGTGCAGTCCATTTTGTATACCCAAAATGAAGAAGATGCACACATGGTGGCATCAAATAAGGACCAAACTCCTTCACCATGCTTCCAAAGAAGATATGTCACAAATAATATCAAGAACTGTCTCGGAGCAGCTTTCAATTTCCCTGCAGACAGAAGAAGATAACGGTAAAAGAATTTTTGAAAATTCCAAGATTACTTTATAAACCATTGTTATTATTATACTTTTCATATATACCACTTGACATTTCGGGAATCACAAACCATTTTTCACCTGCAATGATAAAATATATTGGGTATATTCTTGTGCCAAATAAAAAATCCTGCAATTATAAACTAATTTTGTGATTTGGACTGTGAATGGCATTATTGGTGGATAGAGCTGGAGTCAATGCCAGCACCAGAGTCTGGTACAATAACAATTGACACACCCCTAACGATTGCTACCAAGAATGGAGTGATAGAAATGGTGAAGGCAATTTTCGAATTGTTTCCGTCGACGATTAAATATGTGAATACTGAAGGAAAGAACATCTTTCTATTGGCTATAGAATATAGGCAAACAAATGTATACTGTTTTTTGTGTAAATGTAAATGGCTAAAGGAAAGTTTGTCCAGGCAAGTAGATAAGGAGGGAAACAATGCATTGCACTTGGCAGTGAGTCTCGAATTTGACCCTAATCGAGACAAGGGGGAAGCATTCAACATGCAAACCGAACAGCTAAGCTGGCTTTACGTGGGTATCTAATGGATAAATTTAAAGCATATCACTGTTTCAAATATTTATTTGATATTAAAATAGAGACATGGTAAGTTGATGTTTGTATATATGGTGATGCAGTTAGTGAGGAAGTCAATCCCCTACGATTTGTCTACAAGATACAATAGAAAAATGGAGACGCCGAGAGACATCGTAGAAAAAAGTCACAAGGAACTTATGAAAATCCAGCAAGAGTGGGTGGCTAAAACCTCAGAAGCATGTTCTGTGGTGTCGACCCTTATTGTAGCAGCAGCCTTCGCCACACGTACCAATGTACCAGGTGCCTATGATGAGAAAGGCTATGCAATCCTTAGAAACAAGCCACAAGCATTCAAAATTTTTAAAGATTCTTCATTTGTGGCCCTCTTCTGCTCTCTCATTTCCACCATCTGCTTCTTGTCTATAGTTGCTTCTCCTTCTCATCGATATTTTAATGCTCGTACGTTCGTTCCTTCCCGATTTTACTGTGCTTTGTACTTCATGTTCGCCTCCATTGTTTGTTTGTGGATCTCTTTCTGCGCCGAGGATTTCTTCTTGCTCCATGACAACACTCAAAAATGGCACAAGGCTCTTCCAACTTATATTTTGTTCTCATTGGGCTTCATCCTTATTGTTGGCTCACAGCTCCACAGATTCCTTGATCACAAATTGTCTCGGTTTTTTTCGGATCACCCCTCCCCCTAGAATCGAGCTGATTTCTCCCATTCAGTGCCGAAGAACCGAGAACAAGGGAAACGGACCAGATCTGAACCACCAAAATTGAGCCCATCTCTTGTATTATTCAAAGAACATCTACCTTCATCACTTCCATCGTAAAACCTTTTGTGTGATTTGATGTTTTTACTTGTTTTCTATTTCTGACAATATGTGTTGGAGGCATACTCTCGCCCCATCACATACTGTAGTTTGAGTTGTATATTTTTTTCAACCTCACTTATATTGCTTCCTCATTCGTGGCTTTTGGGGTTCTCATAATGATCGTCTTGTCTTATTCAAATGTATGACTTACCCCTATTGAGTAATTTAATTGATTGGATCGATTAATTAAATAACTGGGGTAATTATCAGTTGTAAATGTTAAAATGTTTAAGCGCGAGCGGATTTAAGTTGATGTGGAAAGTTTCACATTGAATAACACTGGGCTTAATAAATAACATATATGATCCACCAAGAAAAAGGAAGAAAATAAAGTTGCGACGGATTGAAACTAATTGTTCAAACAAAAGCTTAACATTAGTAAAGGGCGTCCAATTTGCAAAGTAATTTACCTGTATCCTATTAATATATGTATATATATAATTCATTATAAACTGTTATAAATGAGGACACAAGAATGCCGGCAAAGTTATGTTCCATATTTTTCCTTTATAAAGGAATTATACAGCTTTAAAATGAGTCCAAGAGCATCTCATTAGGATAAGTGTGTCCCAAGAAATGAGTTTTCAAAGCCAAAGATCTAAGTAAAATTGGAAAGAGAAACAGAGCACTCTAACTGAAAAAATTAAATTATATTAGATGGCGCATGTGAAGCCCAGTTTCATATTTTTCCTATAGAGATGACTCCTTGAGTTTTAAAAGGAGACAAGAATGAGCTCAATACTATATTTTTAATTAAGTACATGTTATGAATTTTGGAATTTAGCCTAAGATTCTGCAAAACACCAAGAAATACGTGATTGAGCTTCAATTTTTTGAGGTATTTCTTATCTCTAAGTAGCTTATAACAGAAAGCAAGATGTTGCATTATTGGTATCCTGTTACATAATTTTTTCTTGTAGAAGACATTTAAATTTTTCTGCAAATCACACATCACATTAATCGGAACTCTATGAACAAGAGAAATAAATTTTCCTAGTTAGTATGTATTGAATCTATTTTTAATACATATAACTGATGAGGCAGTTTTTAAGGTTGGGATTTGATCCCACTACCCCTTAGTCATTTGGGCCAACAAAAGAATACCATTGGACCAACAATGATTTCTTAATCATATAATGCAAACAAAAATATAAGATGACTTTTTATTGTGACTCTAGCCCGTGACAACAATTTATCTAGGGATGACAAGTCTTAATTGAGAAATAATGAGTCTAAATTTGACATTAACAAAACAACTTTTTTTGATACATAACAAGAAATAACATGTCTTGATTAGAAAATGACAAGTCTAAACTTAAGATTAACAATGTGTTTAATCCACTTTCATTATTCAAACTTAAAATTTCCAACAAAGAGTAGTTTTAGTGTAAATGATTAAAGAACACACATTTATTTTAAATAACTAAATTAACTAATTTGTTTAATATTTAGATAGTTAAAAAGTTAAGGCAGTAAGTTTGGTTATTAGAAGGACTTTATTGAATTGATGATGTGAATATGTAGTCATGTATTACATTCAGTAGTCATGGATTTGTCATGATTTTATTAGACGATTATATTATTCGGATTGGAGAACTTCACAACAAGGATACAAGAGATTTATGTATTTTTTGTTTTTATTTTTCAGATTTACAATGGCAACGAGACTATGGCTGTTATTTGTTTAAACATATGGATGGAATTGTCTCATTACATTACATTAGCTCATGATCCGTGGGACAAGTGAACACTCACAATGAAATGCTCAGCGTCGGCTTGGGCCCATCACACACGCACACACATGTGGTTCATCATTAATTAATATGATGGATGATTGCTTCCATGCCATCATCCATCAATTTATAATAAATTTGAATATCATGTTGTGAACGTTGCTTTAAGCGGGGTGGCTTATTTATTGTTTTCACATTGATGAACAACACAATAACATTCACAAGTTGGTTTAATTTACACATTACTTATCACTATTTCCATTTTTTTTATTTTAATTCATTTTTCATTTTATTTCTTTCTTTAAACTATCGTACTACAGCTAGAAGAGCGTTAATAAATATAAGAAAGGGCTAATTGACAAAATCAAGAAGCACTCTACTAAGAAAAACACACGTTCGAATTTCGAGAAATACAATTGTTGAGAGAAATTTAACATTAATACTTTCAGCTTGACAATAATGAGTATCAAGTTTAAAGTGACTTGAGGAACTCTTACATGCACCAAAGAAAAAAAAGCTTATGGACAAACATGTTAATGCCGTCGGCAACGTAAACCGTGCAACGCAATTACGTAATGGCTTTTTGAGGGCTAACAACATTTATATTCAGGCCTAGGGCCCATGTCCTGGACTTCAATGATCTGACAGATTAGAAGGTGTTTCATGGGTTGGGCTTTTATTTTCTTCGTTTGAAATAGTTTTAATTAAGATAAGGGCATAACAGTCTTTACCTTTGTTCAAATTTTTAAACCAAATCCATTTAGCTTCTTGTTTCACCTTTTTCTTGGGAAAAAAAATATTTCTAGCATCAGATTTAGTGTGGCAAGAATGTCTGGGCCATTGGACATATAATATCTACAATTAGAGATTTTGTGCCACCTAAGAAGTCCAACACAGGGGTGTTGCTGGGATAACCCCATCCCTCCCGCAGCTGTCCCGATCCCGGGTAAAACGGGACATCCCACGAATTTTTTAAAAAATTTTTAATGAAAAAAATTGCATCGCTATTTAAACTGATATTGAATAAGCTAAATCGGTCAAAACTTATGTTAAACTGGGTGAACCGCATTGGAGTGGGTCATCGATTTAATTATTTTCTCCCACCGACTTGCCCAAAATTGTGTCGTTCTGTCTAAAAAATCTAAATCTGAAATCAAATTTTGGTCTCTCAATCCCAGACTGGGAAAAAGAAACAAAACCTTAAATCATTGAACATGATTTGGAGAGGAAAAAAAAAAGAGAAGAGCTGAGGATGATGATAAGAAATGACTGAAGAAGGAAACGAACACATAAGTAGATCAGCGCCTTCAAATCTTTTTTTTTTTTTTTTCAGTTTCTCCAACTTGTGCCCTTCGTTAAAATGACCAGTAGTGTCTGATTTTGGATGGAGAAGATGCTTTTGCCTTTCAAAACAACTTGAATCATAGATATGACAACGCAAAGCATTTCATATTATACATCATTTCATTCAAAACAAAATAAAAAAATACTTCAAAAACATTTCAAATATTTATTTGACCATATTTTTAAATAAAAATTTAAAAAAATTAAATTACTTGTCAAATGGCAGAGATTATTTTTTTAAAATAAAATGGTTTATAAAAAAAAATATAAAATTTGTGACATGTCAAAAACCATCGTTTTCATCAGTAATTTTTACAGTAGGGAAGTTGATAATTAAAACATGAAATATTAGAGTCCTTAATTTAAATTTTTAGAAGTTAGGGAGGTAGTGTACAATTGATCTAAAGTTTAAGTGTTTTCTGTATTTTAACCTGATTTAAAAAATGGCAAATTATCTTCCAATGTTTAATTAAGCTAAACAGATTTAAGAAAATAATGGGAACAAAACATGATAGCTGGATACCCGGAAAAGGGCAGGCCAAAATTTTTTTAGCACATTTGTCGATGTTTTTAAGAATTTTTTTATTCTAATTAAAATAGATGTACTGATACATATATATCTATATATATACATTAAATAATTTTTTAGATTAATATCATCATGAAAGTGTTAAAAAAGAAGGAGTAATATCGCCCTTAATTGTTAAAAATATTAACCCTTAACATTAGTTTTTTAATGGTTAATCTTAATGTTCTCCTTCATTAATACTTTCATACCAATACTGATTCAATAAAATTTTTTAGGATAAATTTAATGTTTAAATAAATCATCGTTAGGTGACCTATGATCGTCAATGATATAATTTATTTACACATCAAAGATATGAATTGGATCACTGTCATAAATAATATTTTCTAAACTATTAAAGTCAAGAACCTACACTAAATTGTCGGCAAAAAAAAAAAAAAATCTACACTAAATTATTTATTTAAATAAAAAATGTGATGTTCTTTTGACCCTTTTTTTGTCAATGTGTGCATTGTCGGCAATCATTCATTATTTTACATTTTTTATATCTTCCTCCTGAGGTTTAAAAATTTTATTTATTTAACATTTCAATTTTAAAATTAGGAATTTAATTTTTTATGCGTTTTTGTGGACAAAAATAATGAAATTACGTAGAATAGTGTTCTAATAGTCCTTAACACTTCATCGGTAACGATCTAAATATGGCATATATTGACCAAGAAATTTAAAAATAAATTTTATTTAACTCTTGATTAGTTTATATTTTAATTTTATAAATCCCTGGTCCAAAAAAATTTATAAAGTCAGAATATACTTTTTAGGAGGA